TATGAGCCTGAGCACGTCGGACTTGAACGGTTTCTACAGCCGCCGGAGAAGATCATGCACGACATGGAAGACCGTGAGCTTCTTTGGAGAGCTTCAATGACGCCTAAGATCAGGCACTACCCTTTCCTTCGAACCCCAAAGATTGCTTTCATGTTTTTGACAAAGGGTCATTTACCTCTAGCTCCTTTGTGGGAGAGATTCTTTCAAGGACATGAAGGTCTTTTTAATATCTACGTTCACTCCGATCCTTCTTACAACCAGTCCGATCCCGAAGGTTCCGTCTTCCATGGCCGCCAGATTCCAAGCAAGGTCAGCTTCCTACTCTCTCCGATCTTTGTTTATGATTTGCAGTTTTGGGTGAAATTACGTTGGAGACCAAAAAAAAAAGGATATAAAATGATAGTATTTTTGTTACCTTTAAGGAGTCCTAACAAAATGTGAATACATAAATTCTCGAAATTAAAGAAATGGCAAGCAAATATCTTATATCCATGTTTCTTGAAAACGGTGTGATCTGACTTTGATTGAGTAATGTAAACCTAAAAATCTCGAATTAAAGTGAACAAAATTCGTAAGAAATTGTGAATGGAATGTAGATTATCTTGCACAATACGGTTACTTTATTGTTAAATAAATTATTATTAACCCTTTATCAAGCATTTGTTTGTAGTCCGTCGGTGCAAGTGTGTTATCATATTATAATACAATTTGCATGGTTTCTTCATTAGTTTATCCTTTTAATCTGGTCATTATCGTTTTTGCCAACAAGAATTGGAGGCACAAACGCATGTAACCGTAATGAGAGGCGACTTTTATTTGAATAAAAATCAATTCACAATTTCCTTAACTTTCTCAAGGTGAGATTTATCAGTTTCTATTAGGGAATGATGTGACTTTTATTGACGCCTTGAGGGCGGCTAGTATGTCTCTTTTAGAAATTTGTTAAGACATGGAAATATCTACAAAAGGTGTTTAACAATTTAGAACTTTATTATTATCAATCGACTTTGACTTTTTTTCTTGGTCCATTCTAACACGCAGTCATTGAATATAATTTTATTTTAGCGAGGTACACTGGTCAAATATTTAGAAATTTATGGTATTCTTTTTTTTTTGTTAAAGAAATTTATGGTATTCGGTATTAATATCCGATCGATAACAGAAAGGTAATTCATTTGAATTTTCATTTCTTGATTTGGTTCTTTAGTTTCCGTTCCGAGTACATACTGTTACTTGATTTGGTTCTTAAGCTTCCGAGTACCTATCCGAATACATTTTTTTCAAAAAATACTAACTTGATATTGAACAATGTTAATAAAAATATATATATATTTCAGTTTGGATATATATGGGTACATAACCACCGAATACATCTATATATGTACTCGTAGACACTATTAAACACATCTATCTATATCATTATTCAAACACTATTATATGATTTATATTCAAAGATTCGCATAATATCATTACCCCTATTTCTTTCGTAGTCCAAGTTAGTTTCATTGGTCAGTATAAAATATATTTTTAGGTGTCATCATATCCCTTAAATTAACTTTGCACCTTTATTTATGCAACGAGGGACATTGTTCTTATTTTTTTTAATCTATATCATAATTTGGTTCGAAGGATATCATCTACTCGTTCTGGAGAGTACTTTTCTAAAAGTTAGACTTGTAAGTTGTAAAGGTTTATTATATAAAAAAAATCAGACTAAAAAATCAAAGATAATTTTATATCATGGCTCATAGACCTCCAATTAAAATCAATTGTATAATTTTTTCTAAGATATATATATTGACCCAAAAAAAAAAATTTATTTCCTAACATTTTTATCTTTGAATTATTTATTGATAATGCAGAGAGTGGATTGGGGAAACGCAAACATGATAGAAGCAGAACGAAGGTTACTAGCAAACGCATTATTAGACATAGCAAATGAACGATTCGTACTTCTCTCCGAGTCATGCATCCCTCTCTTCAACTTCACTACCGTTTACTCTTACCTCACTATGTCAACTCAAACTCACGTCGAATCCTACGACCAACTTGGTGGCGTTGGACGCGGCCGATACAGCCCTGAAATGAGGCCACGTATCCAGCTACGCCACTGGCGCAAAGGCTCCCAGTGGTTTGAGCTGGACCGTGACATGGCCCTAGAGATTATCTCAGACACATTGTATTGGCCTCTCTTTTACCGTTATTGCCACCACGGTTGCTATGCGGACGAGCATTACATCCCTACGCTCCTCAACATCAAACCAAGCCTGGCTCGTAGCAACTCCAACCGGACTCTCACGTGGGTCGACTGGTCGAAAGGTGGTCCCCATCCGAACCGGTTTATCAGACACGAAGTGACTCCAGAGTTCTTGGAGAAGCTAAGGAATGGTGGTGATGAGAATAAGCAGTGTTTCCACAATGGAGAGAAGACAAATATTTGTTATTTATTTGCTCGCAAGTTCTTGCCCACTGCTCTCGGAAGGTTGCTCAGGCTTGCACCTACTGTTCTTTATTTCTGAACATTCTTCTTTCACATATTTTTTTATTTTTCAATTTGTCACCGTAAAATATTATATTCTTTTGACAATAATATCATGTTATTTTCGTATGTGGAACATCGGTCTGGAGTGCTTCATGTAAACTATATAAGTGACCACACAGCGACTTTGTTCAAAGTGGAATATATCGAACATGGAACCTCTGTATACAGTCTTAAGATCTAAATCCTCAACCACGCCGTAACCCCACAAGTGGGTTGTTTAACGCTAAGTTTGGGTGATTTATCTACAAATTTCATTTCACTTTTTCTTATTATGTATTATCAGCCAACGAAACAAGCTTCAACAACTACACAAATTAGATATTTTATGTTTATATTGTTGACCATCATGTAACTTTATGTATGCCATATCATTAGAAACCGGCACTATTACATTAAATACTATGCGATAACATGCGCACATGGCTCCATACTCTATAAAGTTCTTTCTAGTTTGTATGGTCCGAGAAATCAGAGTAATGGACCGGACTTTAAGGCATCGCTAGTGGGCGTTCCATTTAACCCCGACTTTCTATAGTACCACTACTGTTCTTCCTTAGTTTAATACACTCTTCTTCTTTAGTTTAATACTACTTGTGAGTTAGGCAATCATTACAAGTTTTCTGTTTCCGTTTGTATCCAGGTGCATGAAAAAGAAAACAATTCAAAAAGAAAATTACATGTTTAATTTATATCTAAATTTTTTTTTTGTAAAGTAAGTGTCGGTTTGGGCCATGTAAACAAGTCCACACAAATTTATTTTCAGTTTTTTTCTAAGGAAAAAGTACAATCGCTATCCAATGCAAGGTGAAGTTAAAGTTCTTTGTGAAGTCGATGGTCAACTCGTATTGTCTTGTAATTTCCAAGCCAAACTTCACTTTTATGCGACTCATCAAACTCCTTAAATATCGATCTCGTTCCCATCATGTGATTAGAAGACCCACTATCTAAAAACCAAAGCGTTTCAGAACCATTGCTGATGTGAGAAAGAGTCATAAATAACTTTCTTTCTTCTTGAATATTTGTAGTAAAACTTTGTTTATGCTCATTTCTCTGCTTGAACGAGCAATCTGCTTCTTTGTGACCATTCTTCTTGCAATATCTAATTTGAATACTGCTCTTGAACTTATTTTGATCCTTAAATCCAACGATGTGTTGGTTTTGATCTCCATAAAAACCTCTGCATATATTGATTCATGTCATTATAGTAACTTCTTCATTTGCCATTACCATGACCTCGACCATGAAATTCACCTCTGCCTCTGCCACAGCTTCCATAATTCTCAGATCTTCCATTCTCTGAAAAAATCTTTTTCACCTGAAAAGCTTTTTCTTCTGTCTTTTCAGAATTCTTGCTAAGCCAATCTTCATGAGCTATCAAGGAACTCATCATTTCATCAAAAATAATTGCGAGAACAATAAACTCAAACCTTGGTGATAAACTCCTCAAAACCTTGTTCACGATGTTTTCGTGGCTAAGAAATTCACCTTAAGTCTTCATTTGAAGCACAATTGCAAAAACTCTTGCCAAATACACTTAAATAGATTCTTTTTTTACCAAAAGAGTTTCAAACTTTTGTCGCAAAATTTATAACTTCACAGTGATTATCTTTTGAGCTCCCAAGTACTCTTGCTTCAACATCTCCCATGCTTCATGAGCTGTGTTCACTACTGAAATTTTGGACAACATATCTTCATCCAATGCCGATTGGATAGTGAACAAAGCCTTTGCATCTTTCTTTCGTTTCTCCCATAAAGGTTGATTGGGTTCCTCCAGATTATGATCTTCAAAACCAATCTCCATAAAATCCCGTAGTTCCTACAACTAGAAAATCGTCTTGATTTTGAGACTCCACAAATGATACATTTTCCTTTGAAAATTGGAACAAGGGCCTGTAAATTCGTTTCGTTACTCGACATCGCATAGTATTCTCAAGAGGACTGAAACCTGGAAAGCGCTTTGAAACCACAATTGCTGGAAAAGATTCAGAGAAATTTCTGAAATTGAGTTT